AAAAAAAAAAAAAAAAAACAAACAAAAAACTAAAAAAGACCTCAGCCAGTGACTGAGGGCAGGAAGACGGGAGGGAGTAAATAGAAATAAGATCAGATCTTGCCCTCCAGAAACGCCAGTTGGGGAGATAAGGGGTAAACAAGCAAAATAGTAATTTTAAAAAGTTTATTTCTTCCATGAGCAGGAGTGAGACAGAGAGAGACAGAGATAGCACCCCCACTGGGCCTTGATGCCTTGGTCCAACCCCAGGTCACTGGCATGCATGTGCCTACCATGTTCAGGGAGGTCTCAGGATTTAAACCCGGAACCTTCCCATATGGGTCAGCCTCGCAGAGACTAGTGCTGCTGTGCCACCATCTGGCCTCCAAGTGATAACATTTGAAGTGACAAGTACCCATGTAGTATTTGTGAAGCACCTTCAAAGTTGTTGTTTCACAGAGTCCAACGCCATTTTACAGATGAGAAACCCTTTTCAGAATGGTCCGTTGGCTTGCCTGACAGTGAGGTGCAGGACTGGGGCTCCAGGTGCCTGAGATTCCAAAGCCCAGTCTGTCTCCTGTAATGGGCAGAGCTTGTGTGAGCCTGGAAGTGCTAACGTGAACCCAGGTTTCCTGACGCAGATTTTCTTTTGGCATTAGCCACACAGTCCAAGGCATCTTAGGCAGAAAGAACTCAGAGTGAGCACTCCGGGCTCAGGGTGCTGGGGAGGGGGTGTTGACCTTAGCTTTGGGCCATGGAGAGTCCTCACTTGCACGGCTCTGGTTGGTTAGACGGGAGGGTGGTGGCCCCCACCTCCGGGCCGAAGACACAAGCCCAACCTACAGCTTGGCTGGTGACGCTGCTGCAGAGTGGCGTTCCGGTACGGCAGGACTAGATGCGGTACTCCACTAGATGCTGACACGGCTGTCTGAGGGAGGAGGCGAGGCAGGTCTCAGTGCCCTCGTAGGCGTGGAACAGGCTCAGAAAGGTAGCCACCTCTCCAAGGTATGCCCCAGAGATTGGCAAACTTCAGGTCCAAGTCTCTCCTGACTGTAAATCCATGACCGCACATTGCCTCTGTTCCGGTAAATTTGACATTGTCTTCCCCTCTGGGCCTTTGTTCCTGTGTACCTGCAGGGGGCGATAGATGTCCTCCCTGCTTGGCTGTGCTAGAAACTGACTGTTGGACTCGAACTTACACTTAGCAGCACATTACCTAACTGGATTGTAAACATTTTCTGTTTATAATGGGTAAAAGTTAGTATCTATCCATCTATCTATCTTAATACCTAATAGCTGGCCCCTCCCCACCTCAGTAGCCTGAGCTTTTTCAGGTCAGGACTACTTGACATTCAGCACAAGCATGGCCTGTAGTAGAGGCTCAGTAAATGCTTGTGGTATTGAATTATATATCTCTTCTTGCGCCTCTTAGAGCCTGGAAAAGTAAAAGTAAAAATGTTTTTCTTGTCTATCCCGATGAATGTATTAGTTGAGCAACTCAGGACCTATGCAGTGTCTTCATTTGGCCACAAGGTGGCAGTGTGACCCCACGGGGACTTTCCGCCTGCGTCCTGGCCAGCTCCGTGCTAGTTTCTAGCTGTCCATACCCTCTGGGCACCTCTGTAAGAATTGCCTCTGCAAAAGGGGTTTGAACACCTGGGCTTCCAGCCTCTATGAGGTGTGGGCTTTGGAGTCTACAGGGTCTGAATTCCAACCCTGGCTCTGCTTTTCCTGAGCAACAGCCTTGGTCCCACTGCTGCTCTGGGCCCCAGCTCCCTCACCCTGTGAAGGCTTTTAGTGTCATGGAAAAGCTCAGCTCCTCAGGGACCTCTGGCATAAGTGCATGCGGCTCTGTCGTTGTAAATTCCTGCTTGCCCTTCACTCACGGCCCTCTGTAATCAGTCCCATCTAGGCCATCTGGTCTTATTCACCGGACCTCCTGCACGTTCTAGCAGGCCTTGTCGCTCTCCCGGCAGCATGGCCACCCGCCCAGCTCTACATCGTCTCGTCCATGCTTTTTTTTGCTCTTTTCCCTGCCCCGTATCTTCCCAGTGCCCGTCCTCCTTCCCAGGCTGACTGACCCCTGACACTCTCAGCCCCTAAGTGTCCGAAGCTCTTGGAGTGTGGACTGTGTAGGGCTAGTCTTGACTTCCCACAGAGATGGGAAGTCCTGTTTTGGCATCTGTGTCACGCGCTTAGTGTTCAGCTAATAAAAGCTCCTCCAGCCTGCGGCGTGGCCTCTGGCAGTCATTAGCGAGCCGCACTCGGCTGGGTGATTGTAGAAATACTTCGCTTCATCCTTGTAACAGATCTGTGCAAAGGAAGCTCTTACCACTAGTTGACAAAGAAGAGGTGTACCAGGATGCTTCTGGCTCCAAGTAATTTAGCAGTTTACCTAGTAAAGAGAGTTTCTGATCTTACTCAAAAGAAGCCAGGAGGGGTGCTCGGTGATGTCTGCAGGGGCCAGGTAGCTCCTGTCTGTCTGGTCGCCTCCCTCCGTGTGCTGGTGTGTTCTCTTAGTCTGGCCCCTTGTTGGTACCGAGGTGACTGCCATGGCCCCAGCTGTCACACATAGGAGAGATGACATAGGTTCCTGTGCTCCCTTCAGGTTTCTTAGGAAGTCTCAGCCAGCTGGGTCTGAGGCTTGTTCCCAAGCCAGTCTCTAGCACAGGGTCTGGGACCAATAGGTCTACCGGGACCAGTCAAGATCGAGCCCTGGGGCTGGTGAGGGGCCGGCCTCCCTCTGTACCACGGGCACCTTGGCCAGGGAAAAAGAGGGTCACAGACAAGGCTTGGGGGGTTCGGTGACTAGTCATGGTGGCACTGAGTAAGAACCAGGATTCAGGCCAACTTCCCGTCGGCTCCTGGCCATCTGTTGGTTAAATGAAGTAAATACAGAGCTAGACAGTGCGTTGCTCTGCATGTGGGGTGCAGGGCTTGAGCCACCTCGGTGGCACCTCTTCCTACGGATTCCGGAGTCTCCCTGCTCTCCAGCCCCTTCCCATGATTGCACTGGCTTTTCTCTGTCCGTCTTTCTCTCCGTTGCCCGTCTGTCTTTTAATCCCTGAGTGCTGCCTGCCTTCAGAATGGGCTTTGTCCCTTCAGCTGGAGAAAGGCTCAGCTGGACAGAATGGCCTTATGGGAGCTTGTCTTGGTCTATCTGAAAAGGTCCCAAGAAGGGACAGTTGAGTTTTTTGGTTCTTTCCTTTTTTTTTTTTTTCAAAGAGAGGTTTTTGCTATAGGGTGCATGTGCTCGCCAGAAAGACAGAGACAGAAAGAGAGAAATCACCACCACCACCCACCCACCACCCACCCCCGTGGGGATGGCCACACCGCAATCCCTTCTTCTCCATTCTCCTCTCAGAATCTTGGGCATGCACACTCACGAACCCGGCATGAGTTTAAGTCGCTGGGTCTGGGACTCGCACCAGGGTTGACTATGTGGGAGTCCAGCAACATAACCATTATACCATCTGCTGGTCCCAGTTGTGGTTTTATTTAGCGAATAAGGGAGCTGCAGGTGCCTCATAGGGTTGAAGAGAAGGGAAGGCAGGGTGAATGCCCAGGGGGAGTGTGGGTAGGCAGGAGTGGGGGGGGGCTTATGATGCATCAGTAGGGGTGTCTGGGCTCTGGGCCAGGGTCTTGGAACGGGCCCAGGCGGGGCAGTGCAAGCTGGGGCAGGCCAGCGACTCAGGAGGCGTTTGTTTGTGCAGATGCTGCAGGACTGCCCCAAGGCCCGCAGGGAGGTGGAGCTGCACTGGCGGGCCTCCCAGTGCCCCCACATCGTCCGCATTGTGGACGTCTACGAGAACCTGTACGCGGGGAGGAAATGCCTGCTGATCGTCATGGAGTGGTGAGCAGCTGGCTGTCGCTTCTCTGCCCGCATAGACCCCCCTCACCCTCTGAGGACCGCCTGGATGGGGACCCTGAAGCCTGAAATGCAAGCTCGATGCCTTCTGGGGGTGGTGGAGAGTGGCGGTGGGGTAAGTGTCCCGAGATCTCACCGTGGCTTTGTTTCAGCTTGGATGGTGGCGAGCTCTTCAGCCGAATCCAGGATCGAGGAGACCAGGCATTCACCGAAAGAGGTAGGAAGAAGCTGCGCAGTGGGAGCAGCCTCAGGCCGGTGGGGTAGTGGGTTCGCCGGGCTGGCAGTGCCTACTCTTGGGGCAGAGGCCTTGGGCTGCTGCTCCTCCTGCTCCTCCAGCTTGCAGCCTGCGTCTGTGTGTGCATCAGAGCCTCAGGCTGCACGGTGGCGCTGGTGGACCGGGTTTGCAAACCTAATGGCACAGCTTTGCAACCTCTCCTGCCCCCACCTCCTCGCGTCTCCACAGAAGCATCGGAAATCATGAAGAGCATTGGCGAGGCCATCCAGTATTTGCACTCCATCAACATTGCTCATCGGGATGTCAAGGTACGCGGTTTAGACCCCGAGCAGGGTGCTGGTGAGGCCTTGGGGGCAGGGCTGTGACAAACCCACAAAAGGATGCCAAGTCACCTTGCACCTTCGCTTCTGGTTCCTGACAGCAGACTGAGGCAGTGTGCCAGCCTCTTCCCTGGAGGGCCCTGCCCTCTCTGCCCACTACCAACCCACAAACCCAGCTGCGAAGGCCTCTCTGGCCACAGCCAGCCTGTGGTTCCTCTTGGTCAGAACCTCACTGTCACACCCTTGGTGTTTCTGTCCCTGCATGGCTAACTACTTGTCTGCGTGTCAGTCTGTCATCCCCACGTGCTCCGTAAACCACAAAGGCGGATGCTCTCATGGGGTGAGGCCCATGATTGTTGGATGAGTGAAGGAAGAGAGGGTGTGGTAGACAGCGCCTCCCAGTTGAGCAGGGCTGCCGTTTATTCCTCTTCTTCTCCACAGCCTGAGAATCTCTTGTACACCTCCAAAAGGCCCAACGCCATCCTCAAACTCACCGACTTCGGCTTTGCCAAGGAGACCACCAGCCACAACTCTCTGACCACTCCTTGTTACACGCCGTACTATGTGGGTACGTCCAGAGGAAGCCCAGGGACCTAGTCTTTCCCCAGAACTTTTCTCACCCTGTCCTTTGCAGGACTCAGGGGGCCGCAGATCCTAGGAGTCGTGGCCTGCTGGCCCTTTCTGGTGCCGGTTCCAACGTGGCCTGGTGGGAGTAGGCTTGTTAAGCTGGGACACAGAATGGCAGAAACTGCCTGGGTTACAGGCAGGGCTCGGGCCACACGTATGCTCTTCCCGAGAAGGGCCCTCATCCATCAGATTCTCTGCGGATCTGGTTCCGAGGCCCTGGCCGACAGGCACAGAATAAACTCTCAAAGCATGTTGCCGCGTTCAGTGGACCATGTGGGCCCGAAAGCCCTCGTAGTCCACATGCCTCTTCATCTGCAGGTCCCGGTTCCAGGGCCTCTTTTGCAGGGCACTTTGCTCTCCTGCTCCTGCCTAGGACCAGGGCATGGCCCATCCTCCTGCCCCCCATTCCTGTCCCTCACTCTGGGTTGAAAGATCAGGATGGGGTGCAGCCCTGACAGAGAAGCTGGGGTAGGCCACAGGCCCACCCACACTGACCTTTGTCTTGCAGCTCCAGAAGTGCTGGGCCCAGAGAAGTATGACAAGTCCTGTGACATGTGGTCCTTGGGTGTCATCATGTACATCCTGTGAGTGGCCCAGGGAGGGCCGGGGCCGGGGAGGTCTGTACGTCTCCAGGACTAGAGGAGTGGATGCTAGCATACCCTTTTGGATGGGGGATGTCCCTGGGAATCCTCTTGCCCCCCCCCCCACCTGTGCTTCATGGATTCTCATGGCCACATGGTGGGGAGAAGGTGGCTGAGAGGCCGGGAAGCTATGGTTTGGACGCTTAGTGTGTTAGATTCCTGGGCCTGTCCTTGGCTTTGTGTGTGAAGCCTGTGTGGGCAGTCGGTACGCCCACTTACCCGTAATTTCTGCGAGGAGAAGCTCGTCTGTCACCTGTTCCTGGCGTAGGGTCCCTAAGTAACAGCAGTGCTGTCCCTCTCTTCTTGTCTCCACCCGACACAGGCTGTGTGGCTACCCCCCCTTCTACTCCAACCACGGCCTCGCCATCTCCCCGGGCATGAAGACACGCATTCGAATGGGCCAGTATGAATTCCCCAACCCAGAGTGGTCAGAAGTGTCGGAGGAAGGTAGGAGCCTTTCAGGACAGGAGTCGTGAGTTTATGTGTGCACACGTGTGTGGGTGTCCATCTTAACATGAGTGACGTAGCTATGAGGTGTCCCTGGTGGGCCCTGTCTGGGAGAAGGGCCCGGAGCAGAGTCAGACCACAGCATTGCACAGTGCCTGTCAGCCACAGTGGCCACATGATCCCTGGGGCCCGCTGCTCCCTGGGCAGTCTGTGTGTCCGTGCATCTCCTCCCCTGAGACCCTGAACATGGGGAAGGGGCAGGGCAGGGAGAGTGCCCTGAGCTGGCGTGTCCCCTCCTCTCCCACAGTTAAGATGCTCATCCGGAACCTGCTGAAGACAGAGCCCACGCAGAGAATGACCATCACGGAGTTCATGAACCACCCCTGGATCATGGTATGGGGCAGCTGGGAACTCTGGGTCCGGGGACTGTCCTCAGCCTTCTGTCACATCACACCCTGGTCTCTCTCCTCAGCAATCAACGAAGGTCCCTCAGACCCCGCTGCACACCAGCCGAGTCCTGAAGGAGGACAAGGAGCGGTGGGAGGACGTCAAGGTGAGGTGCCTCTGGTGTGGCCGGGGTGAGCACTGGGGTGGGGGAGTGTACTGGTGGGAGTCTCCCTTTCGAGGAGAGCGGCTCTGAGCCACTTCCCTGCCCAGGCTGTAGCACAGGCGTCTGTTCCTGTCCCTGTTCTGGCTGCGGCTGTTTGCTCTAAGCCCTCTGTTCCTGTGGTCTCCCAACAGGACCTAAAGGAGGAGGTCACCTGCTGTGAGCTCCTCATTTTGCAGATGAGGAAACTGAGGTCAAAAGAGGGGACCTGCTCAGAGTCACACAGCTGGTGACCGCAGGGATAGACCCACCTAGTGCCCTGACTCGGTCTGCACTCTCAGTAGTCCTGGGAGGTTACCGTGGGGGTACTGGGAGAGCAGCGACTGGCGGGCACGCTGCTGACCCAGTCCTGGGTGGGCTAGGCTGTGGACAGACTGCAGACCTGCTGACGGGCTGTCCCCCCCCCTCTCTGCCCCACCTGCTGCCCTGCCCCATCCCCGCCCATGTCTGCGTCTCACCCCTCTCCTCTGCTTTCTCTCCTCCCGTCCTGTGATTTCTTCCTGCGCGTCCCTGTCCCCAACCCCCAGGAGGAGATGACCAGTGCCTTGGCCACAATGCGCGTCGACTACGAGCAGATCAAGATAAAGAAGATCGAAGATGCATCCAACCCTCTGCTTCTGAAGAGGCGGAAGAAAGCCCGGGCCCTGGAGGCGGCAGCCCTGGCGCACTGAGCTGCCGCGCCCCTCCCGCTGCCGGAGGACAGCAGAGACTCTACAGGAATATATTTTTTACACGAGACACAGACTGGCCGCTTCTGCCTCCTCGTCCTCAGCTGTGTGGAGCTGGAACCGCGTTGGTGGCCAAGTCCTGCCTTTGGTTCTGGCCACCCAGAGCGGGAGAGGCTGGGAGGGTGGGCAGCTGCGGAGAGGGGAGCAGGGTGTTCTTGGACCTGTTGTATTTTGCAATTTTATCAGTAATTTGACTTAGAATTTTTATGGAACTTCTTTTATTGTCCTTTTCCCCACCCATCCTTCCTACCAGCCCCCTTCCTCCCTGGGTGTTGCAGTTTGGGGCTCGTTAAAGGGCGTTTGTGGATGCCGTTGTAGGGACTGTCCCTGTCTTGTCCCAGCCTCCCTCCTACTTCCTCACTGCAGCCTGGGGTCCCCTCAGCTCAGGCATGCTGGGAGCTCAAGGCCACCCTGGGAGAAGGATGCACTCACCTCCACTGGAACCCCAGATGGCCCAGTAGGCCAGACAGACAGGAGTGAGTGTGTGTGTGTGTGTGTGTGTGTGTGTGCGTGCACGCACGCGTGTGCACATGCCCGGGTCTGCCAGGACTGTGCATGTGAGGGACTGGGGCAGGGAGGGGCCTGCTGTGACTCAGGAGTCTCCCCCACTCTGCCCCCACCCCAGCCTCCTCCCTCCCCCCTCGCCCCGCCCATGCTGGGCCTGCCAAAGTGCCTGGGAAGCCTGCCTGCTGCACCAGGCCCCTGTGCCTGCCTGTTAGCCGGTCCAGAGGCAGAGGGGAGTGACTGGGCACAGGCACAGCGACCAGGAAGATGGGGCCTCCCACCCCAGGACCCCCTCTCCCCATCTAGTGCTGGTCCTAGGTCCTCTGAGGCGCTGGACTACCGAATAACCTCTCTGCTCCCCTCCTTGCCATCATTAACCTGCGCTGTCTGTCCCCTAAATGTTCAGCCATCTCAGTGCGGTGGCTCTCAGCACCCTAGGAGAGTGGAGCAGGCAGCGTGGGCGGAGCCTCTGCATTTGCGTCTTTCCTGGGCCCTGGCATCCATCAGCTGCCCCTCGTGGGTCACAGCAGGACCAAGTGGTCCTCCCTCCAGTTCCCACGGTGTGACCCAATGGGTGGGGGGAGTCTTCGCACCAAAGATGTCCCGACTGCCCCCGCCCACTGGCCACCTGCCATATCCCGACAGCCCTCTCCATGTGTCCAGGCCAGTGAGAGGAGGGCCTCCCCAGCGTAGGTGGGGTCAGCAGGGAGAGACCCACTGTGCCAAGTCCCGCACTCCCCTGCTTTTGGGGGAGGGGGTGACAGGAAGACTTCAGTTTTCATCTCCCTCAGGGACAGGGGTGAGGCCACCCAGGACCTTCTCTGGGTTGGGGAAGGGCGGGGTGCTGCACCTCCTCGTCCCTGACGGTGTGCCCAGCACTCGATTATTGTAAACTGTTGTTGTTTTGTATGAAATCGTCTTTACTAAACAGATTTAATAGTTGAGAGTTTTTCTTTCTCTTCCTTCCTGGGGCTCAGGCCCTCAACACTCCCACCCCCCGCCTCCCACCTCCTACTCTTCTTAGCTCGGGTGTCCTGGGGGAGAGGGCGGAAGGCCTGCAGACCCTTTGGGACCCCTTGGCTGTGTCAGGGTAGGGATAGTGAGAGCTGCTCCCCTGGGGTGGGGTCAGGAACTTGGGAGCAGTACCCCTTTCCACGCTGGGAGCCAAGCTGCTTCCGCCATTTGATTCTTTAACCTACTTGACCTGTACCGCTGCTTTGCTGGACCCTTAAGCTGGGGAAGCTGGCTGGCTGGGCCAGGGCTGGCTGGGCCAGGGCTGGCTGGGCCAGGAGTGGAGAGGGGGTGATGAATTTGGTTGGAATCCTGGGAGACACCTGGGGAGCAGGTTGGTGTAGTACCTGAGAGTTCCAGAAGGGGGCGACAGGGCCCAGGAAGAGACCTAAGTATTGTATTCTACCTCTGGGGTCATGTGACCCATTCTCCTCACAGCACAGGTAAAAAGGCAGGGGGGGTGGGTGTTGGAGATCCCAGGGGAACGAATTTGCAGCAGAGCCTTGGGGAGACCTCCCAACCCCACTGCTCACCTCCCTCCCAGGCAGCGTGGGAAACGGCATGCCCTTCGTCACCCCACCTCCATTTTCTTTTTTAGTAGCAGTCACCACCATTCTCTCAGAGAAGTAACTGCTCTTTTATTTATTTATTTATTTATTTGGAGAGATTTTCACTATAGGGCGCGTGTGCTCGCCAGACAGACAGAGAGAGACATAGAGACAGAAAGCGAGAAATCACCCCCCAGGGGGGATGGTCACGCCGCATTCCCTTCTCCTCCATTCTCCTCTCGGGATCTTGGGCACGCGCGCACACGCGCCTGGCGTGAGTTTTAAGCCACCAGGTCTGGGACACGAACCGCGGTCGACTACGTGGGAGTCCAGCGACATAGCCATTACGCTAACTGCTGGTTGCCCCCACCTCCATTTCCTTACAGGATCCTCAGAGCGGCCAGGGGAGAAAGGCCGCGGTTCTGTGACTGCGGAAATTGCCCCTGAGGGTGCAGGCATGTGCTGGAGGTCACACAGCTGTGATTAGGGTTAGGGCTCAGCCCTCAGGATCCCAAGCCGAGGATGCTCTCTGCCCTAAACCTGCCACTTCCTGGAGGACAGGCTTGCTCATCTATCACCACCCAAATCACATCACCACCCAGATCACGTCTCCACTGCCAGCTCATGGGGACAGTGGCCCCGTGACCTCCTCCGTGACTCCTGAATGGGTCGCTGAGGTTGGTTCCTTCCTTTCAGACCCTAGAAACCGCTGCTTAAACTTACCCAGCATGAGGTTTTGCTTTCAGAGAAACCCGGTTATTTAGTCTGCTCTCATGAAAGGATCAGACATGAGAAGAGCCTAAGGGGACAAAGGGATGGGAGGAGGGCTGGCAGGAAGGGAGTCGGGGAGGAGAAGGAAGCCAGGAGAGCTCTCTGGCTTCTGAGGCTGCTGGTCTCTGCTACCCCAGAACACGTGGCTTTGGACAACACGCTTTCACCACTGTTTGTGCAGGCCTGAAGTCTGGCCGTCCCCGGGCTAAGATCAAGGTCACAGAGGGCTGAGTCCTCTTGGGAGGCTCTGAGTCCGTGCCTTCCCGCCTTCCCCAGTTCCTAGGGGCTTTTCATGTCCCCTGGCTTGCAGCCCTCCTCAGTCGTGGAAGCAACCCGCATCTCTCTGACATCTCTGTGATCCCGCTGTCCTCACTGTCCCAGCGAGGAAGGGTTCTGGCTTTTTGTTTTTTCTTGCCAGAAGGCAAATGTGCTCATAGAGAGGGAAAGTGAGGAAGTGCCCCGCCCCCTCTCCAGGGGCAAGGTCACGCTGCAATCCCTTCTCCATTTCTCCTTTTGGTATTTTGGGCACACATGTACATGACCAGCATATTTTTCTTTTTCTTTTCTTTTTTTTGGAGAGGTCTTTGCTATAGGGTGGGTGTGCTCGCCAGAAAGACAGAGACAGAGAGACAGCGAGAAATCACCTCCCACCGCAATCCCTTCACTTCCATTCTCCTCTTGGGATCTTGGGCATGCAGGCACACGCGCCTGGTGTGAGTTCAAACCACTGGGTCCGGGACTCAAGCCACAGTCAACTACATGGGAGTCCAACCACATAGCCATTATGCTAACTGTTGGTCCCACACTGGCATGTTTTTCAAAATACGAAGTTCAGGACTCAAACCATGTGGCTGGTCATGTGGAGGTCTAACTGCCTCCACCACCACGCCACCAGCTGTGCAGGTTAAGTGATAAAATGACATTGGACCACCCAGATAATCCAGGGTAATCTGCCTGTCTTTAAGCCCATTTGGCATGTAACAGTTAGGTCCAGGGCCTAGGGTCAGGGGTCTCTGGGGACCATTTCTGCTCCACAGACTCATGTTACCGCCTTCTCGTTCTGGTGCCCCAGTGTGGACCCTTGCGATTCAGTTCCTTGCCTGTTAGATGAGTCCCGCTCAGGCAGACACTGGTCAGTGAGGAAGCAGCCTGGGTGGCTGTCAGGGAAGGTGGCTGGGGCGACGGACCAGGAGGGGTCATGCACTGTGAGCAGAGTCTGGCTGGGCCTGTCTTCCCTCTGCCACACCCTGAGCTTCTCTGCTGGGATGGCCCTGTGATCTCAGGAGAACTTACCCATCTCCTGCTGAGCCCGTGGTGGGAGACAGTGGAGACTTGTCCCTAAAGGCAGACGCTGGCTTGCTCAGGTGTGTAGGGGTGTGGCTTCCTGAATGCCCGGCAGTGGTGTGGGTCCCAAGGGGCTGCGGATGCTCCTGGGCACCTGCTAGGTGCCCATGTCTGTTAGCCCCTGAGCTGTTGGTCATGTCAAGCCCTTGGGTAGTCGGGCTAGTCTCCATTTCCCCTGGGAGGAAACGTGGGCCCAGAGAAGTGGAGTGACTTGCCCAGGGTCAGGCGTATCTGTCCTGGGTCCAGATTCAGAGCTTCGTGGAGAGAGCACCTGGAAGGCCTCACGGTGAGGGAGGAGGTGGACTGGATTCCTCCCCACTGAGGGATTTACTAACCTTTCCTGTGCAGTGGGGGCACTAGGCCCTGTGGCCATTGTGAAGAATTCATGAGATAATGCCAGGTGCCTGGCAGCCTTTGTCCGTGGGGGAGCCCCACCCCTCTGTGGGCACAGGTAACCTCTTCTGTCTGGGCTGGGTCTGCCTGCCCTGAGTGGCGGGTGGGTCCCCGAGCCTTGGGGTTGGCAGTTGGTAAACATTAACAGTAAATGTGAGGCTTCCCTTTGTCTGGGTTGGAGGCAGGAAGCGTGGAGGGCTGCAAACGACAGGTGGGTAGGCTGCGGGCAGGTCTGTGGGGTATAAAGGAAATTCAGTTACTCAAGGCAGGATGGGGTTGGTGACTAGGGAAAATGCCTGACCCACTCCCCCAGGAGGTGAACTAATGTGCCTGGGACTCACCGGCTGGGTTAGAGTGGGGCAGGGGTGTGGGAGCACGCTCTGTATCCTCTGCCCGGGATCCCACCCCTTCTGACCTGTCTACTGAAGCCAGTTAGAAGCCTTGGCCATCCCAGGGTGGGTCTGGCTGAGTTTAGGAGTAGCTGCTCTTCTATAGGGACATCCGTGTCCAGTGCTGGGGGCTCTTGTGCTGACCTCAGACCCCTCCCGCAATACGAAACCGCCAAACCCCAGGCGCTTGCTCCCCCCACCCCTTCAAGCCCACTACCGGTTCCTGCCCTCAAGCTATAGCCGAGGGGTACCAGATGTCTGTGTGCCCAGTGAGCAGCCCTGTCTGTCCTGTCCCTGCATCCACAGGCCTGGGCACATTGACACTGCTCCAGACAGTGAAGGGGAGGACCCAGACAGTTGGCCAGGACCCTAGAGACTTTGAGACGAGAGAGGAGTGAGGTTAAAAAAACATGCCAGTGGCTTGGCGGTTAAGGCAGCTGGATCCCACATGGCTGACTGCATGGTTCGGGTCTGACTATAGCTTCAAAAATGTACTGAGTACTTGTGAGCACATTCCTAAAGTCCTGACAGGAAGGAGAAGGGATTGTGGTGTGACCATGCCCTAGGGAGGTGCTTTCTTCCTTTCTCTCTCTGGCAAGCACATGCATTGTCAGGCAAATTTAAAAAGAAAGAAATACCCGGAATCCTTATTGCCTATTTGGATGAAGCCCTTGTATCCATGCCCTCCTTGGGAGTGGGTCACATGGATCCTGCCCCTACCCAGGCAGGGTGTGAAGGTTTAAGGTGGAAGCCGCCCCCATTCAGGCAGGATCAGTGCTTCGGTAACTCGTCCTGAGCTGCTCTTTGAGAAGACTTTGAGCCGCAACTCGGGGAGTGAAGACGCCGCATTTTGATTTGGCTCATCTCGAGCATGGACTGCCTAATGCACAGTGCTCAGGACTCTGGGAGACCCGGATGGGGAAGAAGTGGGCTCGTCCTCCGGAGCTCAGGGCAGAGCAGTGGGCAGACTTCACTACACCAGAGGCAGGGGAATCGATGCTCCAAAACAGGAGGGTAGGTGGTCGTGCAGGAGGTGGCGCCACCGTCAGCCACCAGGCAGAGCCGCGCAGCAGCCCTGGAGCAGCGCTGGAAGGACGGGTTGACAGCAGACACTGTGGGAGCAGCGTGGAGGAGGGCTCCCCATGAGTGCTCCCGGTCTTTGCAGAACCCAGTCTGTGGGTCTAGGCTGCCTGCTCTGTGCTCTGGCCTGGACTTCCATCTGCTTCTCTCTCCAGGATGGGTTTCGACCATGGGTTTTGCCCACGGAAATCTGGTTTATCCCCTCAGGGGGTGCCCTCGATGCTTCCTGCCCATTTTCTTTTCAGCTTCTGCAACCTGGGTTCCCCTCATTCATGATGTTTGCTCTTCCAAAACCAAAATTTGGGAACATAGTCTGATGGGGACTTCCCACTTATTTTTCAGTTCATTAATTTTTCAAAAAGCCTTATACAGTTGTACCTTAAGCTTTGCTCAT